TTTCCTGTGAGCGCTCCTTCTCTTGTTTGTCATCCACCACCAGAGCCAAGCTGATGTCAGGGCCACGGCCTTGAGCTTCCAGGACGCAGAGCTAAACAACCTTCTCGTCTTCATAATGTCATTCAGCCTCATATATTTTGTTATAGTAATGGACAGCAGACTAATTCAGATTGGATGTGGAGTGAGCAGGATGCACACCAAAATATTAGCAGTGGTCACGTCTGGGAAAGGCAGGAAGGGAACAGACAGGGGGTGTGAGGTCAGGGTGAATTTGATGCTTGGCCGGGAGGATCACAAGTTGGAAGCCCAGCCCAGCCTGGTCTCAGTGAATCTCTGTCTGAGAAAAAAAAAAAAAAAAAAAAAAGGAAAAAGAAAATGGGATGGGGCTGGAGCAGAGGCTGTTGCCCGGATTCTGAGTATCTCAAAACCAAGCAGGACTGTCATGGACAGCAGGGCTGCGTGTAGTGCAGGACTGCATCTTCCTAGACAGGGGGTGTTTAAGGAGCCAGATCTGCTCCTGGAGGCATCCGGTTGCTCTGCAGGTGGCCCAAAGCCACGGGACCGGGCTGGGAGGAGAGCAGAGGGCTCCATGTGGCCTGGCCTGCTGCGATCCATGTGCTTCCAGTGAGTGAGGACCATGGCTGATGACGGGCCAGGTCGCCAGGGAGAAGGGCGCAGCCAGGGGGCCCTGAACAGCTAGGATTTAGCCACAAAAGGGCCACTGCAATGAATTCCAGTGACAGTGACAGCCCCTGATTCCACATAGCATTTGCTGTGCCTGCTATCGTTTTGAACATTCTGTGCAGATAACTCTTTTAAGTCTCCTGCTGGGCACAGCAAGCATCGCTTACTGGGGGATGTGGAGACAGCGTTGTGCTGACTGCGTGTTCTAGAGGCCAATGGGCTGTCTCTTGTACGCCTCCAGGTCCCGTCTTTCTCTCTTTGCTTCATTGGTGAGATCTGGGCCATGTTGAAAAGCTTGACGCTGAAAGTGGCAACGGGCTCCGAGGCCCCTCGCAGCAGTAGGTGGTCTGGTCCTTCTTTCACCCTTGCCTCTCTGGCGGATGGCAGAGGGCAGCACCTCGTTGATTCCAGTCATTGTTTCTTTTTAAGTGAATTCCACCAACGATCTTTGCTAGGTGTGCACAGTCTCTAGTGACTCCAACCCCTGCTGTGACCCTCTGGGGTGCTCCCCTCTCCTCAGGAAGCCCGACCGAGTGCCTGGTCTCTAACGTCAAAGACAGCAAGAGGATGGCTCATCATTTCTGGGATTGGATTCTATAAAATGGTGAGTCGGGGGGGGGGGGAAGATATAGCTCAGCAGCATGAGTACCTCCCTGGCAAGTGCAAGGTCCTGAGTTCAACTCCTGATACAAAAAGAAAAAATTGAAGTAAATAGAAGATTGTGATTGCCATCTGCTGGCACCCCCTCCCTTGCTGGCCCTGCTGACACCAGTAGCCACACTGAGAGGCCCCCATGGCAGAGAGAGGGGTGGCTTCCAGGCAGCACCTGCCAAGGAACTGAGACTCTCAGTACAACAGTCTCGAAGTACTGAAATGCACCAATAGCCCCATTCCCTGTCCCAGCTTGTAAATAAGGTCCAAATCCTCGGTGACACTCTGCAGGCTCATTAGCAACCACAAAGCTAAGGCTTATTGGGAGTCCTGACCACAGAATCTGTGACACAATAAAGTGCATTATTTTCAGTCACCAGGTGCAGTAATTTGTTTTGTAGCCATAGTGGACTAAATTCACTAAATAGCCAATTTGCTATTTTAACAGCTTATGAATAAATGGAAAGTTCAAGGAAGCCCTCCACAAATACAACCTGAGGGAAACTGTATAGCTGACTGGGGGAGGTTTTCTTTTATAGCTATATCCTACCTAATAAAATAAAGAAAAACTAACATTTCAACACTCAGCACTTTGCAACTGTGTGTGTGTGTGTGTGTGTGTGTGTGTGTGTTTGTGTGTGTGTGTGCTGGGGATTGAACCTATGGCCTCATGCATATCAGGCAAGCACTGACCATTACTGGCTGCTAATATGAGATAAAAGACAAGAAAACATTATTCATTTCCTGGTGGAAACATATAATGTTATCTATACTCTTTTTTTATGGTACTGGGGACTGAACTCAGGACCTTGCACTTGTAGTCAGGTGCTTATGCTGCTGAGCTATATTCCCAACCCTTTATAACATTATCTATAAACTAGTATGGCCAAAAAAGAAAACTGTAACAAACAGCAACAGAAACATAAACTTGAATCTGACCATATCTCTGGATATAACTGCAAAATTACAGAGAATCTAGGGATAGAAGAACATGTTAAATGACACTATGAGAATGTAACTAGCAAAACCAAAATGATTCAGTTTCTTCAAAAGAATAACTGAAAGAAATAAACAAAGGGAGATTGAGGACAGTGCTAGAAGTGAAAAGAGATTTAAGACATGGTTGGACAACTGCAGTTGATGAATTTTTTTTTTAATCTTTTTGAGTGAGGTCTCACTATGCAGTGTAGACTAGCCTTGCATTTGTAGCCCGGGCTGATCTCAAACTCACATCAATACTCCTTTCTCAGCCTCCCAAATGCTGAGATTATAGGTGTGTACCACCATGACCGGCATTGCAGTTGAATACTCTTATTTGGGTACTGATTCATAAAATCTCTATGAAAGTTATTGATGAGCTAGAGGTATTTGAATGCTAAATAGGTATTAAATGATAGTAAGGATTTACTACTTCTTAAGGCATGGCAATGGCTTCATTGTGATTTTCTAAAAGAGAGCCCCTATGCTTTGAAGATGTATTAAAAATATTTACAATTTACCCAAGTTAGTGAGACCCTACAGAAAGCCCTGTGTTGAAGCTACAGTACTTAAAAAGGAATAATAAAAAAAAAAGAAGCAAAATGGTAGGATGCTTGAAATTTGTTTCACAGTAATCTACTAGGATGATATGAGTGATACAGATAAAGCAAGATTGGCTATGAATCCCTAAGGTTGAAGTTTGCAGTGGTACTAGAGGATTCATTACCCTTCTATGTTTTTATGTCTAAAAACTTCCATAGTAACAATTAAAAAGAAACCAACTGAGTTGTGGGTGAGGATGTAATGCAGTGGAGGGCACTTGCTAAGCACATGCAAGGCCCTGACTTTAATCCCCAGCACCACAGAAATGAAACCAAAACCCCCGAGTGATGTCACTCCTCCATTGATGTTTCCCATCTCACCCAGAGTAAGAAGCATAACAGCTTGCCGAGTCCCCGTTGCAACCCCCCATTCCCACTCTCCACCTCTCTGAGCTCGTCTCCTGCCATTCCCCCGGTTATTCCCCAACTCCCGGAGACTTGGGGTTGCTTCGCAAACTCGACACTCTTGCTCCTGTCTCAGGATCATTGCTCTTGTTGTCTCCTCTACCTTGACCTCTTGCGTGCTCCTCTGCCAGATACTCCATGGCTCACGCCTTTTACGTCTCTGCTTAAATGAACAACCCCCAGAAATTTTACTTGATTACTTCAAATAAAATAGCAAGACCTGTCCCAGACAGATAATTCTTGGTTTTGTTTCTTGCCCTTACATTTGTCTATAGAACTTGTCATCCCATTTGCTCTAACGTCCTGATGTGTTGATCATTTTCCTTTTCTAGCTGGATGAGGGTCTTGGAGGACAAAGTATTCATATTTATTTGTTTTGTAGCCCACGCTGCAGTTGAGCCCAGGATTCTCCTGCCTCAGCCTCCCAAGTACTGAAATTACAGATGTATACCATTATGTCCAAAATTTTTAAAAATTCAATTGCTATATGCCTGACACTAGGATCAGTGCCTGACATATAGTTGGTGCAGTGAATAAATTCTTGTTTTTTTTTCTTTTGTTTTTTGTTTTGTTTTTCAGAACCAGGGATTGAACTCAGGCCCTTGCGCTTGCCAGACAAGTGCTTATTCTACTAAGCCATCTCCCCGGCCCCTAAATTTTTGTTTAATCTATGGCTGTCTTTATTATTATTTTTTTAAAAATGTATTTGTTTGTTGCAGGGTCTCACTATGCAGCTTAGACTCATAGTGATCCTCCTGCTTTCAGCCTCCCCAGTGCTGAGATTATAGGTGTGCACCTCCAGGCCTGGACTCTGTGACTGGTTCAGCCTGCTCTGGGGTTGGAGCTGGTGTGGCATGCGGTGCTGGGGATTGAACCTTGGCTTTTGCACTTGCCTAACCTGGCCTAAGCAGGTGCTTTAGTCTGCTGAGCTATCTTACCAGTCCCTGTCTTTATTCTTTATTTTGAATAATTTCAAGCATACAGAAAAGCAGAACAGGGGCTGGGGAGATGACTCAGTAGAATAAGCGCTTCTCTGGCAAGTGCAAGGGTCTGAGTTCAATCCCTGGTTCCGCAAAAAAAAAAAAAAAAAAAGCGGAACAAATCATGAGTACACATACACGCATCTCTTAGCTGTAATAATTACGAACATTTTGCCACATTGTCTTGACACATTTTTGCATTTTTAGCTCAAGCATTTTAAAGAATTCATCATTAACACAATATTTGATCCCCAATATATCAACATGCACCCTTATCTAAGTGAGCCTTTCTTGACCCAGTCACGGTAGCGCACTATAACTCCTGAGGAGGTGAGCCCTCTCTCCTCAGGTTCACCTTACCAGTAGTCCTCCGAATGGCTTTTATAGTTAATTCAAACCAGGATCCAATCAAAATCCCATATTGCTTTTTTTCCCCCTTCAGTTTAATAGACACTATGAAAAGTCACTGTGTGGGCTTGGCCCCGCTACTGGACATCTGCATAATCAGATGTCCACTCCTAAACACAGCTTGGGCCATACTACCGGTGGAAGAAAAGATGGTTTCCCCAAGCCCTGTAGGAAAGACATGTGCTGCCCCCACATCTTATGTTTAAAGCATGAAAAAAATGTACAAAAGAGCTTTTGTTCTCTTGGCCCACTGCTCACTTCTGCTTAGAGAAATACTCTGCTTTTCTGGATATCAGGCTTGATGGCACACTGCCAGGTTCTGCCCAGCTGGGCACGCTTCTCCACGTTGGGCAGTGAAGTGGAAGGCCTGCACGAGTCTCAGAGCTTCCTCTGCGGAGCGGCCAACAGGAAGGTCGCCCTCATCAGCGATAAAGAGGCCCCTGAATGAGATGCCTTCATCAGCCTTGAAGACCCCACAACCCCGAGCAATGGTGCGCTTGGGATCGGACGCCAAGGGAACGTTCCTAGGCCCCAGTTCTCCTTGTCCCTTGGGTGTGTCGATCTGTGCCAGATGACAAAAGTGAGAATCCACAGAAGTGCCGATCACCTGGCAGTTAGGTGTCTTAAATTTTTCTGCCCTGTCGCCGAAAGCAGTTGCCTCCATGGGCCACACAAAGGTGAAGTCAAGGGGATGAAAGAAGAGCACGACATGTTTTCCTGTGTGGTCAGACGGTGATAGCATAGGACTCGCCACTGGCATAACGGCTGTGTCTTGAAAGTTGGGGCAGGGGACAGCTTGACCTCAGCAGTTCCCACGCTGAGATCTCCCAAGCACAAGTCAGCAACACCGGGGTGAAGAGGACACCCTCAGACTGCTTCTGGTCGTATCTCAAATCTAACCCTAAAACACTCCCCTCCCTTTATTTTTCGGGTCACTGACTCATTGGAGCAAGGAGAGGCGTTGCTGTGGCGGCCGATACCAGCTTCCCTGGCTTCTTGGTTGCTTCCTTGTGGTGGTTCTAACTCGTTCCTCTGTCACCTGCATTTCCTGTAAGGGAGAAGCGCATTCCACGGCTGGATGAGCTCTGGCCCAACACCGTCGGCGTGGTCCTTCCCAGGCAGAGGTGACGGTGCAAGCGCCTGACAGCAGCACGCCCACGGGCGCGGGGGGAGGGGCCGGCTCGCAGGGTGCTCAGACTGGCTGGTGGGCTTGGGTGGTGCCCACCTGATCCCGGCCTCCTGAAGCCGCTGCTTCTCTTAGGGCCGGGAGGCTTTCTCCGGACTGGTGAGTCGGCTGCTCTGAACGTGCAGTCTCTCCCGGACCTTTCACCCCATGGTTTCAGCATCCATCCACGAGCCTTGCCTGAGTCAATCAGTTCGCTTCGTGTTGCAAAGCTCTGGTGCTCTGCTTCGTCCATCATCGGAGAGCCCCAGCACTCCTCTGTACGGAGGTGCTTTCTTTCGTTGTCTATAGTGGAATAAAGTCTTTCCCTTTAATTACTACTATGTTTAGAGAAGGATTTTGAACAATAATTCCCTCTGGTGGTGATGAATTAGTTGTTGTTGTTCTCCTCCTCCTCCTCCTCTTCCTCTTCCTCCTCCTCCTCCTCCTCTTCCTCCT